GAAGGCAAGGGGGAGTGTAGGCAAGGGGGAGTGAAGGCAAGGGGGAGCGTAGGCAAGGGGGAGCGTAGGCAAGGGGGAGTGAAGGCAAGGGGGAGTGAAGGCAAGGGGGAGTGAAGGCAAGGGGGAGTGTAGGCAAGGGGGAGTGAAGGCAAGGGGGAGTGTAGGCAAGAAGGGGTCAAAAGAGCAGACACTCCAACTTTAAAGCCGAGGGGTCAAGTTTTATACTCGAAAATGAAATGTTTCTTATAATCTTCTATCGGTTAAAAAAAGGAGATTGTCGAAACGAAATGCCACGTGGTTTTATTAATATTCATTCATTAACTCACGAGTGTTACTGGTAGAAAAAGTTATAATTCTCAAGGGAATAAGACGAAATCTCACTGAATGCGAGAATGAAGTAGAAAATTAGCTGTATTACCCTTGATTCACATCGCACTTAATTTACTGACCTCATCTTTGAATTCAACGTATGCGTATCCTTTAGACTTTCCCGCTTTGTTCTTCACAATTCGCACGTCCTGCACTTCGCCAAGCTATGTAGTTAAAGGACAATCAAGACGAAGAGGAAGTAGTTAGAATCTTATTTAATTTGAGGTGATGCGGGTCACCTTACTATGGATGTAAAGAAAGGGCAGATGCAGTAGAAAATGAGATTTTTGAGGTAGAATCTTATTAGAATCCTAAGTATCCCAAGAGGATTACAAGTACACAGAATTTCCCTGTGCTAGGCCGGGCATGAAGTAAAATTTCAAAAGCATAACCAGGTACCTCTCGAGCATACTGACCTGATTTCTTAGGACACGTAGGGTATTTAATTTGATGATATGCGGATTATATCACTTATAGTACACTCAACAAAATTACTCGACTCTAATTGGTCGAGAGGAGTACAATTATAGCGTTAATTGTACTCCGTAGGAGTACCCAATTAAGTCGCTATGGCAACACGGCCAAAACAATGTCAAAACAATTATTTTCTATCATTTTGTACTTAAAAACATATAAATAAAATTTTAAAGCCGTAAGAACTAATCTTTTTTATGCATTTCAGTTGCGCGATGGACTGAAAATCGGCCTCCAAATAGACAAAGCGGCGTCGGCTTCGCATTTTTTTCCTGAAATTTTGTTGATTGAACTATAAACAAAAAATCGTACGATCTCGAGTACAATTTTGAAATTAATAGACACGAGTAATGTTTTGAAAGTTCTTGTAATTGCACGAGCCTTTAGGCGAGTGCAATTAAAGAACTTTCAAAACATTACGAGTGTCTATTAATTCTAGATTGTATTTCCTATACTAATACTTCCACGTCCTAAAGTACGTCGTGTATTTAGAGATAAAGTAAATAAGTGTCTGTTTTAGAGCAGTTTCGCATAACTGTGAAAAGCTAAGTTCCGTAAGCGTACCGTAGAGTGACCTTGATATTTTCTAGAATTTCAATTGGCTCAGTGATTAACTTTCGTGTCAGCGCCGTGTTCTGAGTATTTGATTGGATGGAGAGTGTCACGAGCGTGTTACGACCGTGTTCGTGCCGTGAGCTTTTCACGGTCATACGAAAACTGCTGTATCACGACAGCGGGGCCATGGAGTGCCCTATCAGTATTTGAAACATTTAGAACTGTTAACTGTTTCTATATAATAAATATTACGCCAAATAGATACAAACCTCTTTAAACTTGTTCTTCAATTTTTCCTCAGTGATAGAAAACAATAAATTACTGACGAATATTTTGTTAGGATCTGAAGACCTGTCGAAGTGAAGTCAATAAAACACTATTAGACTTTTATCAGTAAATGATAAGCTGGGCTAACTATGGTACACAATTCGGAAGGGTAGAAAAGTATCGTTTTTTCCATGGCAATACTCCAGTTTCGAATTCTCTGCTCTACATGATTAGCCTCGATTTCGTATGGAATTCTTCGTTTGCACGTTACGTCATCGCGACAATGTTGGTACCATTTAAATGCATTCCAGTCAAGGTCCGTGGAATTTCAAAGTGTTTATATTGTTGAAGTTGTGCATTCTTTACCTTATTGCTGGTATTTGTGAATATTTAAACACTGCAACGAGGCTAACCCTGTAAGAACGAGTCTGTGATCAAGGAACACAGCGGTGTTTGACTAATGCAAAAATGGTCTATTTGCTGTTTTTGATCCTCTTGAAGGGCTCGTAAAATCGCAAAAATCAAAAGTTTTCGCACGATCTTAAAATTTCTTTTTTTTGAGCTAGGAGTATTTGTTTGTGAATAGTTCACCAAGATCTTCATTTAACCTTTAGTAATTTGCACTGCAATGCAAGTTTAAAATTGTTGGTATCATGTGGTTTCTCGGTCAATTTGGAATTTTTACTAACTTTGAAAAAACAATTTTTCTCTAGAAAAAAATATTTCCGTTTCCGTATTTTGAGGACTGTTGATTTCGCAAGCAATGAAATTCGTAGAACTGAAGGAATCAATGTAGGACTATGTAGCAGTCGTCTTACAATGCATAGTCTATTTCTATCTTCAACTGTATTTTCTAACAGTATGACAACCAGTTTTTACGTCTTTAGGTTTTTAAAGACTAAGATACATAACAATGTCAAAGTCCCCAGGAAGCCGAGTGTATCCGTTTTCTGTTATACAGTTATTTCATAAGAGGTTCGTGAATTTTTTGTTGCATGCTGAATCTTGTTTGTTGCTTTAAATACTAAGCTTAAAATTAGTGTATTATATTCATATGTAAACAATGTCATCACATAAGAAAAGATTATCATAAACGTGCAGATAACGTTTAGGAAAATTCCATACCGTTGTGACCTTTCGCTGATGGTACTCACATTACCCATAGTGCAACTCTGGCTTGGCATGCAATATGCAACTAAACCTTTACCAACCATTTTTGAAATAGCTGTATTGATGGTTTTCACGGCGGCCATGTTGGAGGAACTTAACAAAAGAACTGTCAATGAATTCTTTTGTTATGTCCTCCAACATGGCCGCCGTGTCTTTTCTTATTTAATTCTCTTGGGAATGGTTGAAAACCATCAATACCAGTCTTCCATGCTGACCTGGGCTGGAGTGTTCTATGGCCGACCAGGGCTAGCTGATGCCAGAAAAATCCTTACAAGTTATTCTTCAGACCTTTTGGTCTTAGTTGTACGTGGCTGTGATTGATCTTACCTCTCGTATTTATGTTCCCTAGTTTCTTCTTCAACGGTCTCATTATTTTCCTGAACGTTGTCTTCCACTTTTCCTTTCCCTGAGAGACAAAGTACAATACTTGTATTTTAATATAAAAGCGTTAAAAAACGATTGTCTGATTTAAATGAGTAAATGAGAAGTAAATAGTTGTAAGAGAATAGAGTATTAAAATCTTTCATTTAGCTTAAAACTTCCCTCGAGATAGTATTTTTTTATTGCAGTTCTTTGATTGACAGTCATCGACTAAATGCTTGTCGGCGAACGACACATCAAACTTCGCGGGTCGTACTTTAATTGTTATAAAGTTCAAATGATCGTATTTATGTAAACGAAGTTTCGACGAAAGCGTTTCGCAATAAATCCGATCGGAATTTTTAGCAGCGACTGTGGCCGAAAACTTTCCTTTCTGGACTTGGGAAAGTACTTTTGGGCTTGTGTCACCATTTCTCTAGTCCTTCTGGGCCCGGTTGTACGAAGCCTTGATAGCGCTATCCAACGGATAAATCTTATCCAGTGGATAAATTTATTGGGTAACAGCATCAACTTATCCATTGGATAAGGATTTATCCGCCGGATAGCGCTATCCAGGCTTCGTACAACCGAGCCCTGAGAACATGAATAGAAAGAAATTGGTTTATTCAGAAAGAGAAGTTTTCGGCCACAAGAACTAATTGCTTTGGATTGTTCGTGATTAAGTAGACTCTAGACTTATATTTTATTTCGTTATTAGTTATTTCAAATAAAAATCCCAAGTCGATCCATCTTTGACTACATAAAAAATATCCTAAGCCAATGTTTTTTCCATTCATTTTCAAGTTCTGGTTTTGAAATGTCGCGGGAATCCCTCGATGTAGGTGCGCAGTTAGTGTCTGCGCTGTTCTTCGTATTTATTTGAATGCAACCTTCATCTCTGATAAAGTCATCCTAATAACTACGAGGGTCCTCAAGGGACCAATCCCATTTCACACCCAATTTTTTGTAACAAAATCCAGTTCCCATGCGGCGTTTAAATACGAAACTTTTTTAAAAAACATTTACATCCCATTTTGTTGTTTCTTTCCATTCTCAGTGATCTACTGCCCCCCCCCCCCCCCCCCCCCCCACTCTCAGTAACCTACGCCCCTGTCCCCCAACTCTCAGTGACCTAAAACCCATTTTTCCCAGGGTAAAATAAGCAAATCCAAGTTCCCGTCTTACCCCTTCAAAACTTTCTTCAATATAAAAGTAAGCTCCTTATTAAAATTCTTAGGCTCAGGTCAAACGTCGAATTTCACATGAGCCGAACCTAATTGAAACAATGGAAAACAAGACGGTCATCTTTGATGTGATAAGTTTCGGCTCATGTGAAGTTCGACGTTTGACCTGAGCCTAATGAAGATGAGTTTCTTTAGTGATTACATACCATATGGTTTTTTAAAAGCAGGTTCGCTTGTCTCCTTTGGTATCTCAGACTCATTATCCATCTGTCAACATTTTTACAAATAGTTAGAAATTAATGAAAACGAAAAATTGAAAAAATGCTAGAAGCAATTAACATTTGTTAAGAGTAGGCGATTTGACAATATTGTGTCCCGCCAGTGAGGCGTGGGGAGGTAATACCATTAGTAATGCTATTATCCTTGTTTTAAGGAATTCCCAATTCACGACACATGACGATTCCCTTGGGCACATTCCCAAATAATTTGAAATGGGGACAATGCTGAGATAAGCCAATGGCCGCGAGGTTTAGTACGCATTACCGGTCAAAGGAAATTGGCTAAAAGCCTTAAAAGAAATTGATAATATTGTCTTGGCTGTGCCTACGGGTTTGTTTTAATCTTACTTCCTCCATAATTGCCATCTTGTTTGAAGCATGACACACACAATGCTATAACTGACGGCATGTTTCGATCTAATTACGTCGAGACCATATTGGTCGCGACGACGCAAATCCGGAGTTACGTTATATGTCTAAGTTAGCGCGCGAAAAATACGAGAATCCAAACCTTTCTCTTTAGGTTTTGTGGTTTAGATTTTTTATCGAGCTTCTTTACATCTTTCTTTGTTCCCTTGGAATGTTTTTTCTCATGAGCTGTGGCTCTTTCTGAATTTACTTGAGCTGCTTCTTTTGTAGCTTCCTTTTCTGCCGCCTGTGATAGACATAACAATAAGGATTTATCCCCCTTCCAACTATAGCTTAGTCAGGGACGTAACTAGGTGTTCTTTTATTTTTATTTTGGGGGGATAGTGAGCTTAGTAGCCTTTTATTCGTTTAAATCAGCTGTACATTATTATAATCTTTCAAAAAACGCCCGTAAAAAACTAATGGGTTTGTGTGGGTGTTGTTGTTGTAAAGAAAAACTGAAGTCATCTTTTCCTTCCCTGGTAGAATTAAACTTTCAAACAGGGCGAAATCACTTTTCTCTTAGGAATATGGATATGACGTAATAAAAAAAAATTAGACCTTGGCTCTCCGTTCGTTCACTATTGTTAGTCTTGTGTGACAGCGTGTATAAGATGCATCCCATTCGTCCAGTGTCCCTGAAACACGAATAAATGGAAAACTAATTAAACAGAACATCAAGTCAATAGTTATTATTATTATTATCATTATTATTATTATTATTATCATTATTATTATTGCCAGATTTTTCTAAAGCACCTTACTGAGAAATTAACCAAGAAGACAGGGGGCACATATGCAAGTACTATAACATGGATTAGAACTCGATTATCTTTTGAAATAATTAAGTCAGTACACATGTGTGTCAGGGGGACAAGAACCC